GAAATGTAATCACACGGGGTAAACTCTGACGTCTTCCACTCAGCATGGCCTCTGGGAGATTCATCCATGCCGCAGTAGGTGTCAATAGCCCATCCCTTTTTCTTTTTTCTGAATTGGATTCCACTGTAAGGATATACCTATCAGTCGCGTAGGCGTTCGCCCATTGATAGACATGTGGGCTGTCCCCAGTTTGGAGATATTACAAATAAAGAGAATTCTGTTTTCCGGTTATTTCATTTAGGCAAGTTATTGTGGAACTTGTACCGCCTCTACCTTGGTTTGCTGTTTTGAGAAGGGAGGCTAAATGGAGGCAGAAAGGCCTTTGCTTCTCTTTTTGTTAATGATATAAATCGGGTTGGAAATATTTCAGAAATTCAACATTTTCTATTGGGTCTCAAGACTCACTTTTCCTTTACTAGCGTAATAACATTGCGGCTGTGGTGCGGCCTCAGCACTGGTTAGCCAAACTTCTGCTCCTACCTTAAACCCCCAACACCGACATGACATTGTTTCTATATACTTCAAATAAAAATGTGTTCTGAGGCCAGTAATCAGGGTCAGCACACAGAACTGGGCAGGGCGTGTATGGTATGACTCTGGGGAAACCACTCGCACAATGCTCGGTGTAAATTGTGCCCTTAGAAGTGCCTGCAGTTTACAGCCTGCACAACTGTACATGACAACCTTCTCTGAAAGATGATGGCCAAGCAAACGAGACCGAGAAGGCTGAAGCAGTGGATTGGAAGAAAACAAGGGAAGTATGCGTCACAGAAAGGACAGATGGAAGTATTTTAAGAAGCCTCCGGGGTCACTGTTATCAAGTGAGGATCAGATGCGAATCCCTCTCCTAGAGGTAGGAACGTGTCCCACATCACCTGTCCAAAAGTAGTACCTCTCCTGGTCTCCCATCTTTCTCCAGCTACCACTCCATTTCTCTTCACAACAACAAGTACTCAAAAGAGTTAATACGTCCATAGTCTCTGTTCTCCTCCCTCCCATTTGCTCCAGGCCTCACTCTGATGGGGCCTTCATCTGATGGCGCTGGAACATCTCACAGTGGTTGTCAATGATGTGCATCTTGCTAGGGCTAAATTTCTTCTTTCCATCTTGCTTGTTTCCAAGCAGGAGCAACTGACACAGTCAATTATGCTTCCCTGGAAACACTTCCCTTTTGCACTGGTTTCCCTCTGCCTCACGCCCACTGGCAGCTTCTTGCCCCTGTGCCTTGCTGACCCCTCCTCCTTGACTGGACCATAAACATGCCGGAGAACCCCAGGGCAGCCCCTGGCCCTCTTGGCCTCTGTGTGCCTCCCACTTCCCGAGGAGGCCTTGTCCACGCCTGTGGATGAAATTCATTCTCTCAACACCTCTCTCCCCCTCTCCCTCCCTCTCTCTTCCTCTCTGTCTCTCATACACACGAGAGATTATCAAATTTAAATTCCAGATATCCAGCCAAGATCGCTCACTCTGTCTCGAGCCCCATAGAGGGAGCTTTGGGTTAGTTATTGCCACATTTCCCATTCTTTTTCTTTCCTTAAAATAGAGCGTGTGTTAATTCAAAAGGCTTTATAGAAGTGAATTCTTTTTAAAATTTGTGCTTGGTACCAATTAAGTGCCAAACATAATAAAAGCATGTTTCAAATAGAGTCAGTAGAGGACCACCATTTTTACCAGAAGGTTATTTCTTACAATATTTAACCACTTAAAACTGACCTTTCAACTGAATTTGTCAAGAGGGACACAGTGGTTTGGGGTTTGGGTGCCAGATTGGCTGAGCTCAAATGCTGCTGCATCCGGCAGAACGAGCCACGCTGCCTTAGGAGGGGTAGCCACTGTGACCGCAGCGTCTCCTTTCTTGAGCTGGAGTGACCAGCAGCAGCTACAGGATGTCCTGAATGAGCTCATTTACATAAAATACCTGAAACAGTGCCTGGACCATTCTAAGCATGACTATTTGCTATTGCTTCATGAAGAACCTTTCAAGAACAAAGTTTAAGGAAGGGGTATTGACTCTATAGTCCACTGAGCTGTGTGGAGGGACTCCTGGGGCAGGGGTCGGGCAGGACTTCTTCAGCTGAACAGCCAGTTACCCCTTCCGGCTTCAGGGGGTTCTGCCAGTGTGATGGCCACAGGGCCAGTTGCTGGAATTACTCTGGGTAGTTGGAATCTTTCAAATTAATTCCCATAGGCACAGGGGCATTATTTTGTTTTAAAGGATTTAAGATCAGCAACAAAATAAAAGCTTGTGACAATGAGAACAGCCTGTAAAAAAATGTCCTTTGTTCAACGTTGTAAGAAATCTCTTATCTGTGCTTAAAAATGGATTCCTGATATTAAAACAGTTAAGAATGGATTTTGCAATACTAATTCTGGGGCCGGCACTACGCAAGGTGACTTACAGAATTGCAAAATGGTTCTCTTCTAAATAGAACATGTCTATTTAGTAGCAGGTTTGTATCTGTCATAACTGTAGATTTAGAGAAAAATACCAGTAGAGGGAGAAACTTGACCCACAAAACAGAGAAGTATTTTCTACAACCACTCAGGAGAGTAACATCAAATGGCCATTGACCAATGAGATAATTATAAAAAAAAATTAATATCTGAAAACTACACATGCAATTACAGAATAAACAAGGAAGTCGTGTAAAACAATACATTTCCATTTCCACATTAGTTCTTCTGTCCTTAATATTCTTTCTACCCATATTTCTACATCACATAGAAGGTAAAAAGTTCAAAAATATTCTGGGCAAAAAACTGAAGTCTCTTCAGACAGGGCAATTGTACTGAATCACCAAACATATTTTCCTTTAAATGGATAGAAATCATGTACAAGACACTAGACAGAAATGTTCAAGAAATTCAACTGAGGAAAATGAATTGAGAACCTACGTAATAAACTTGATAATCAGCAGCTGCGCCAAAAAGCAGGCAGTAAACCCTTCT